AAATCAATGGTGGAAACAGAATTGAGCTATCTTTGCTCTGAAAAAAGTTTGGATTTTTTTCTAGGACCTACTAATCAATTTCCTTAACTGACAACTGAATGGTCGTCATCTGTCGAGATATCGCTTCCATTTTGATTTCGTGACCTAATTAGGCAGTTTTTTTACCCAAAAAAAATCAATGGTGGAAACAGAATTGTGCTATCTTTGCTCTGAAAAAAGTTTGGGTTTTTTTGTTGGACCTTCTAATCAATTTTTTAAGTGACATCTGAATGTTCGTCATCTGTCAAGATATCGCTTCCATTTTGATTTCGTGACCTAATTAGGCAGTTTTTCGACCCAAAAAAATCAATGGTGGAAACAGAATTGAGCTATCTTTGCTCTGAAAAAAGTATGGATTCATTTCTAGGACCTACTAATCAATTTCCTTAACTGACATCTGAATGGTGATCTGTCGGGATATCGCTTCCATTTTGATTCCGTGACCTAATTAGGCAGTTTTTCGATCCAAAAAAATCGATGGCGGATACAGAATTGAGCTATTCCTCGTGATATTTCAGGAAATAAAGTTCATATAGACATGTGTCCTAACTTGCTTCGTTTTCGAGATACTGGGTATTATATAATATTTCCATGAAAAAGCTTCTTTCTATTCATTTCTCAATTGTCTTTCATCAATTCCAAAATGTTGTGGTTTGGTTCTCGCTCACGTCTTCCCATATATGGCAGCAATCTATTGAAAAATATGGTGAAACCTTAGCCGTGGCACTTGATATCTCCAAAGGCATTCGATCGAGTCTGGCACCACGGACTCCTCGTCAAGCTTCCATCTTATGGCTTGCCTCCCCAGCTATGTTCTTTGCTAGCTAGTTTTCTCTCAAACAGGTCTCTCCATGTAGTGGTCGACGGAATTTCATCTGACTCTCTTATCATAAATGCTGGTGTTCCTCAAAGATCAATTCTAGCACTAACACTATTTCTACTTCATATCAACGATTTGTTGGAAGCAACTTTATGTCCAGTACACAGCTTCGCGGATGATAGTACCCTCCATATCGCCTTCTCTTCCAGGGCTCCAATACCAGCCAGGCAAATCAGAAACGAACGAAGGAGAAATGTTGACATCATAAATATGGTCTTGGCAAAAATTCTCGAATGGGGATCCAATAACTTGGTAGATTTCAATGCAAACAAATCACAAGCATGCCTTTTCTCTAGAAAAGCCGTTCCCACTGTGCCCAACATGAGTTTGTCAGGAGTAACCATACCTTTGAAGGCATCCATTTCGATGCTTGGTATTACTATCAGCAATAACCTTTCTTGGAATAATTACATGAGATCAATTGCTAAAAGTGCATCCCAAAAACTTGGTTTTTTGTTTCGGGAAAGGAGCTATTTCACTTCCAGTCAGCTGCTTGAGATCTATAATGCATCCGACCTGTCCTGGAATACTGTTCCCATATTTGGAGTGCAGCACCCAAGCAAACCCGGAAACTAAGGATTCTGTCCAAAAAAGGGCAATTCGTCTCGTGGATGATGCCTCGCTCACAAACTCACTCACTTCTCTGGACCGCCGTCGAAAAGTTGACGATCTGGCTGTATTTTAAAGATATTTTCATGGACGATGCTCTTCTGAAATATCAACAATTGTTCCTCCCTTGGCAGTCCCCGCGTGATTAACCCGTCGAGTTGAGGCTTCGCACCCCTTCGTGGTCAATTTGGAGACCTGCAGAACAACTCTTTCCAAAGACTCGTTCATCCAACAAACAGCGAGGCTCTGGAACACATTGCCAAGGAAGGTGTTCCCCAAGGCATATAACCTCCAGAAATTCAAGAAGAACACCAATTCCTACCTTATTTCCATTGGTTCACAGGATGTTCTCTGAACATTACAGGAGGTCCCTTTTCGTGGGAACCAGAACATAAAAAAAACAATTGAAAGACAATTCGGACTAAACACTCAGCTAATAACTGCGAATTCATCTAATGGGAGTTTGAGCATTTAGAGCAATAAAGTTTGTCCCTGTGATATAATGGATCCAACTGCGGCAATATTTCGCACCCTCCCACATAATCGCCGTAATAAATTATTAACCTCCCCAAGGACCCCCTATAGGGATTTTCCTCCCCTCAACCATTGCCATTGACCTACTTTCCCCAAACTGTGAAATATTCATTCGTCGAAATGACATATTCAGGGTGTCCGGAAATTAGCCTGCCAAACTTCACCAGCGATTTCTACGACAAAAAATAGGAGGAAAAGTTTCAGTGAACATGACTCGAAAAATATCTCCTACGGGAGCTGCGGTCCCCTGAAAGGGTTGCTCCTGAAGATGATATTTCAGGAATATTTCCGAAACGCCATGTGATAAAATGAAGCAATTCGGTACCAGAACTGAACTTTCCATGCCCAATGCAGTGAAAATGGAACCATTTCAAAATTTCATTCAGCATTGTCTACTACAGGGAGAGACTATATACAGGGTGTTTCATAATTGAATGCTGATCCTGAAGGGCGATGATCCTTGGATGATTTTAAGGAGAGAAGTTTATATCAACATATGTCCTGAACCTCTTAGTTTTTGAGCTACAGGGTGTTGAAATCAGAAGCGTACAGCGTTTTTTAAACAAAACATTCAATATCAGGTCTACGAGGACATCACTGGTAAAAGTAAAAGTTTGATTTTCGTCCCAAAACGAAATGTGTTTCCACTTATAGAGGGTGTCTACTGAATTACCAAAAACAATATCCAAGAACTGAAGGAACAAAATTCTTTGGTTCTTATTTTTTTACGCGAAAACGGTACGTTGTATGAAAGTAAGTCTAGGGACCAAATTTGCTCCAAAATGAATAAGAATTGAAAAAAAATCTGGTTCTTAGAAAAATCAGTGGCGTACTATTTTTTTCTTCAAAAATTGTCAGTTCAAACCCCGTACGGACGCCACTGGTGGAAATTTTTAAATATCTTTCACGTTAAAAAATGCCCCTTAATAAACAATACAAAATATCATAACAATATCTAAGAGTGATAAAAAATTATGATGAAAAACTCATTTTTTTCTTGAAATTTCATCACCCTGTAGCTCAATAACTAAGAGGTTTAGGACATATGTTGATATGAACTTTTCTCTTTGAAATCATCCAAGGATTATCGCCCTTAAGGATTGGCATTCAATTATGAAACACCCTGTATATTAAATACTGCTCCAAGTTTTATCGATGCATATTTTTTGACAATTCATTCCCGGATTATGAAAATCCACACCTCTTTACAGAAAAAGGTACTGTTGTTCAAACATATTGTTATATCTCAGATATTATGCATAACATTGCAATCAATCGTAGTGGATATGAAAAAAAGTGCACAAAAATTTAAGTTGGTACTTTTTTGTCGAGATTTTCCTATTTTACGCCCTTCTATGAGATTGTTTGGTGATAATAAACTAGATGTTTTTTATAGCCACTATGATTTGAAAATTGGCAATAAGATGTGAGTGTAACAATATACAGGGTGACATAGAAAAAAGTACATTGCATAGTGTCACATAATAGAAGACACTAAAATAAGAAAAAAAGTTCCCATGAACACAGGTTCGCAAGGCCTTCGGATAGAAGATACGGGGTGTTGAATTTTAATTCTTTTTTTATCATGTTCAATTCTAATATGATCTTAGTCTTGTCATCACTGATAGAGGGCGTTACATACAGGATTTCATCACCATTGAATCGGTCGTAACTTTTTGCTATACACTGTATGTCATTTTTGACGGAAAAAATTGTTATCCCCTCTTTTATATTTAAGAAAGGTAAAGTATACCTGTCCAAGTCGCTAGAAGCAATGGTTCCAGTACAAATGCATCTAAAAGCCGACAATGAACGCAAATTATTCATAGTAATCTTTCCAAAAACAATGATAAATAACAATCGAATAATGTGTCATAATGATACTTGTCAAACTGATGTAAAAATTGTTAGAGGTATTAAAATGTAATTGTTGAAGTTTTCATCATTGTTTTCGCAAATGAATAAAAAAAAATCAACACCCCGTATCATTTAACCGAAGGCCTTGCGGACTCGCGTTCATGGGAACTTTTTTTCTTATTTTACCAGTATTTAAATCGATTTCACTCAGAAATGATACATCTGAATTATACGAAAGAAGAGCACCTTTTTTCTGTAAAACGGTATGGATTTTTTTAATCCGAAATTGAATTGTCGAAAAATATGCATATATATATAAATGGTCGAGCAATATTTAATGTAGTCCCACCCTGTATTATACCACAGTTTAAGGAATGGGTATTTCCTTAAACTGTGATTATACTCTTCTGAATGACTACACACTGTTTTACCACTAAACAAACTGATTTTTTACACCTCGACACGACAAGATTAAAACTGTTTTAATCTTCTCCTGAAGATGCTAACGTAGTTAGCGAAACACGTGTCGAGGTGTAAAAAATCGGTTGTCAAGCTTTGCATATAATAAATAATACTGATTGTCACCGATCGCAACAAAATTCGAGAACGTCAGTTGACAGTTCCTACAACTGCAATTTTAGTTATGTGTGTAGAAAAAAAAAGAAGAATCATAATGAACACATACTGTTGCGTTAAATCGAGAATATTCAGGAAATGCAAACATTCATTTTGGTATCAAGAGAAAAAAAGGATTCCTCAAGAAAATCCCATAAATGATTTGCACATTTGTCCTAGTTTGAGGGAATTTTGCTTGTAACGCCACTGTCTTCCAGAACAGGGCGACGTTTATTTTCAATTAATTCCAAAGAGAATGGCAAACATGCAGAGTTTAAATTATGCAGGTGCAGATTAATTCACTCGAAACGAAGGGGACCGGGAATTGTTCTCAACAGTTCATAAATTATCTTGAAATCAGATCACAAGGGTGCAATCTTTGAGGAAAAAGAGTGCTCCTAGATGAGATTTCAAGCTGGCACTTATCGTTATCATTTTAATAATCACTCGCCTTTTGTTTTTTGCAGAATCATTAGAGGATAATCGAAACTTCTGTGACTGAGCTGATCCAGAAACGAAAATGGCCCGCCATTGGCAAAAATCTACATCAAATTCATTGAGGTAATGTTTCTTTTCATATAAAAAGGGATATCTAGTACCTACCCTGCAAACACACTTACTTCACAGATATGTCGCAACGATGTAACAATTGTGACCTGCGATATCGCATTCTATGTCGCCAAGACGTCGCTGCGATGTTAGAGGGATGTTATTTTGTCCCACTCAAGTTTCATCCACGCGACGTCGGTGTGATAAGTTCTCTGCGATATAACAGCGATATATTTTTTTTATGTAATTGCGTCAATAGTTGCTATAGTTTTGAATGTGTGAAGTCTTTTACCAATGATAACATATAAAGTGTTTTTTTTCTTTTCTCCTTATTTTCCTTATTGTTTCTCGTAGATGTCTATCTGTTTGCTGGTTTAGGTGGAAGAACAGACATTCTAGACCCCTTTCAGGATTCTAGAATGAATTGAACCAGTCGTCTGTTCATTTTGGTGCTGCCATAACCATATGCTATGCTAAACACAAATCCTTCATTTGGATCGATTGCTCAGCTCAATATCTCGAATTGATTTCGTGATTTTTCAGATAAGGCAATCCAAGGGGGCGCAAGGAGGTCCTTCTGGATTTTTCTGACCAATTCATACAATAACGATGCTACAATGGTTTTAAGATATTCCTGAGCTGACATGAAGTTAAGAAACCTATTTATCACAAGGTTTTTCATCGCGTTATCGAGAATCAATCGAAAAAGTCGATTTGTATCAACACTCATTTACGCAATTAATACCACTGCAACATCCGATATAATGCCTCCTGTCGAATCTTCGTCAACTGTCATCATCGGTTTCTTCAAAAAAATTATTTTTTCTGCTGTTGAAGTTGTCGATGATTTATTTATTTATTTATACATAATACATCCAACAGGCCGGAGCCCAATTACAGGAGTATATAATAATAATAGTTATAATAAGAATAATAATTACAATGAACCAATGTAGGTGAACAAATGAAAATATATAACTAATTCGGAATAAGAGTGTAAAATTGCTTTCTGAACTGGGTTAAATTTGAAAAAAATATATCTACAGACGGCACATTATTTAGGCTTCTACACATAGATGTGATTGGACTATTGAGGTGATGTTGTGAATTTGGAACATCGATTCGGAAAGTCAGGTTTGATCTTGAAGAGATACGGGGTATGTTGAAACTCAGTGTGGATAAAAGGGACGCCGAATCTATTTGATTATTTATTAATTTATATGCAAATATCATGTCTGCTATTTCACGTCGTTTTTTCAAGCTAACGAATGCAAATTCTTCTAGTAGCAAATCGTAATCGCAGTGAGGTTCAGGATAAATATTATATTTTTTGAAAAACAAAAATTTGAGAAATTTTTTTTGTACTGTTTCCAATGCTTGTATGTGTTTAACTTGCTACGTACAATGCAGTAGTAAATAGAACAAAGAGCTCTAAGATTCGTAAATTCTTTACAATTACGTATGAGGAAACCTAGAGCCCTATTGGAATTGGATTAATTTTTTTCAATATGTAAATTGAATATTAATTTGCTGTCAAATATAATTCATGATTTTGCATTCCTCAATATTCAGGGGTAAATTATTTTCAGAACACCATTTGAAAAGAAGATTCAGATCGTTTTGCAGACGCAAACAATCTGCAATATCTGTAATTTCTGTGAAAATTTTCATGTCATCTGCAAAAAGGAGTTTGCCTGATTTAATTGAAATGCATATATCATTTATAAATAAGAGGAATAGAAGAGGCCCCAGATTCGATCCTTGAGGTACTCCTGAATGAGCTATGAAGTTGACAGATTGTACACCTTCATAGTCGACGAATAAATTCCTATCACTGAGGTACGATTTCAATAGTAATTGGATATTAGGGGGTATACCGACGTTACCCAATTTTTGTAAAAGTTGTTTGTGAGAAACTTTGTCGAAGGCTTTGCTGAAATCAGTATACACAACATCTACTTGGTGACGACTATCGAGTGAGTTTGATATATACTGAGTGAACGTGCATAGGTTTGAGACTGTGCTTCGAGATTTCATAAATCTATGTTGGATTTCAACGCAATAAGAATCCATTTTCTAGGATGTGTTCCGTCGTATAGAGTGAGTGGCAAAATACGTTGAATGTGGCTTGCATGATTCTAAAATCGGAAATGATGCGATAAAAACCTAAAAATGAAAAATTATCGATTTTGAACATCCTGTATGAGGAGTATGGAAAATTACAAAACCGTTTCGAGATATTGGCTTGAACGTTCGAAAAAAATGATTGATAGAAAAATAAAAATAATTCCTTGGAATACGAATGCGTTTGAATTCTCTCATTTTACTTTTTTCGAACACTCGGTGTATAATGACAAAAAAACTCCCGACGAGTTTTGAACGAGGAACCTTGAACAGAAAGATCTCATCTTCAAAGCACTGCATTCCGATTGAAAATCCATTCATTCTCAAAAAAGATATGGCAGTTTGAAAATTGTCAAATATTCCAGTGGTCCACTTGTTTGTTTGAGCACTTTATATCTTTTCAGGGTCACCGACTGCCTCCGCCTGTCGACCCCCGTTTCGACCCCTCCAACGCGCTACCATCCTCAGTCGCCGACGAGGCAGCGGCGTTAGCCTCACCCGATCGCCACCCCTTTCATTCCCCACCCTGAGCCGGGGGGATGGTGCGGCGCGACACCTCCACCATGCTAGTGTACAGTTTGTCCGGGGAGGGGGGCGCCGAAATCGTGCTGACCTTGAGATCGTTGACCCAGGCGGGCATCATTTTCGTAATGGCCTTGGCTATTATCATTACCAACGTGCTCATCATAGCCACCTTGCTCAATTTCAGAGGTAAGTGCCAAATTTTTCTTTCAAAGATAACTTTTCAAGATCACAGGGTTCCTTATTCATTGATAAAGAAGTGGTCTTCCTAGAGTGATGACCTACCATTTCCGGAATGTCAAGTCACTGAATAGCTAGAAATCTGAAGGGTATCTTCCATGCATTAATGAATTTGCGCCTTCGAAGTGCCCATCACCTGATATTAGGTTTAAATATTTGATATTTTCATTCCATCATCTGAAAAATCTGAGTCTTACGAGTCCTAAAAGACGGATTCTAATAGTTAATATCCAAGGTACTGACGTATAGAGTTTTATGTCTGATTGATGGATGTTTTGTGTCCAAAGAGCAAAAAACAGAAATGCATTGATAATGCGGAATAGAATACGTAAAACAGAATGGAGAACACAAGACAGATGGATACACCTCCATATTAGGTACTGACCAGTCAAAAGTGAACAACTATTGTCGCCATTCTATTTATGAAGTAACTCTATGTCTTCCCATTCTGTCCATGTCTTCTGGGTTCCAATGTAAACCTATGAACATTTTATGTTAGCAACTCTAGGAATTGAAAAAAATGGAGAAGAAGACCGCTTTAACCTTTTTCTATTTGGAGGTTAGTATGGTCTTCTTCATTTCTTCTCATTTCTAGTGTTGCCAATACATTTTCATTTTGCTACGTTGACATACTGAAACATGAAGAGATGGGAAAGACAAAATGTTCTCTCTCTCAAAGCTAGATGAACGCCAAACACGTATAATTGAATGAAATCGTGAATGGTGGGGATAGCTCTGCAGAATCAATGCCACTGAATCTACATACTTGATGGATATATCTTATACATCTAATAAATCGGGATTTCATTGAATATGTGAATTTTGTGACGTATTGAGTGAGGTTATCTGATATATTCAATATTATAAACACGATTTGAATCAACAGAAGCAAGCCCTCAAACAACACTAGTGTACTGTTTGTCCGGGGGAAATAGTGATAACCTTGGGATCGTTGACCAAGGCGGGCATCATTTTTGTGGTCTGTTGCACAAAAATATCAAGTCACTATCTGTTGTGCGTAATGGAGTTGGTCTTTATAAAATTCTGTCTATTCCTCGTAGTAAACACCTGATATTTCGAGTTCATGTACCGAGATGTTTACTGTCCTAATTTGAAGCGACCTTCTACCTCCTAAGTGTATCCCTTCTCGTAATATTAAGTTTGGCTGGGTTCCGGCATTCATTACAATGGCTCTGTTGCACGAAAATACTTATTTCTTTATGTTCGCTCGAACTTCTTGTTGCTACATGTGAAAGTTCCAGCTGCTTGGCATCCATTGTTACTCCAGGTACTCTTACGTGCTGCTCTGTATCCTTCGTAAACTTGGCAGTCTTGAAGTTTCGATTTTGATCGATCCAGCTCGAAGGACCAATATGTTCGATGCTTGATAAATAGTGGACTGTATTTGTATAGGATATAATATAATGAATCATTTTGAAATGAAGTTTGATAAAAGAATTGCAATTCGTATTGCAATCCTCCTTTATTCATTGATTTCAATGATGAATCTGATACTATACAAGTACCAAACTGATATATGGTCATACCAGTAGTGAACACTTCAGGTCCCTCGGAGGTGATCAACTGCCACCAGCTCTTCCTAACCGTTTGTGCGGCCTACTGGTCTTGCCTTATCTGAAGCGACCTTCTACTTCCTAAGTAAATAGCATCTCGTATCAATGAGTTTGGAGGGTCCCTGCGTTCATTACCAAGGCAAAGACAAAAATACTCGATCCGGCTCGAAGGACCAATATGTTCGATGCTTGATAGATAGTGGATTGTATTTGTATATAGGATCAATCTAGACGAAAATACTCATTCCTTCAGGTCCTTCGGAGGTGATCAACTGCTACCTGCTCTCCCTGGCCGTGGCCGATCTGCTGTGCGGCCTCCTGGTGGTGCCTCTCTCTGTGTATCCGGCTGTAGTCGGCGATTGGGTGTACGGCGACGTGTTGTGCCGCGTGGTAGGCTATCTGGAGGTCACCCTGTGGGCAGTCACCGTGTACACGTTCATGTGGATCAGCGTGGACAGGTATTTGGCGGCCAGGAAGCCGCTCAGATACGAGACGCTGCAAACGAAGACGAGGTATGTGATCGGTGAACATTATTTTCCACCTTATACACAGTCTTTGGTCCAACGAAAAGTAGCATCTAGCTTTCCTCAAATTCTGTGATCGGTTGTTGTTGTTGCCAGTAGTTTCGACATAATCGTGAAAAATGTGTGAAAAACTCATTTTTTCAACACCTTGTATCATGAAAACGGATGCCGTTACGACATTTTTTCACTGAGCAAACCCATCTTGTTTTGCAGTGTTCTACCTACCCTAGAAGGGGGTCAGTTTTTTTTAAATACTTGGTTTGATGATTTGCGAGAGGTAGTATTTCAATAGGCACTAATAGTTTGGGGGTAGCTGAGAGTACGAGACTATATTCTAACATAACAACATTTATTATTATTATAGCATGAAACATTATGGGTAGCGATGACAAATATGAATAAACAACAATGAATATAAAGACCCTATTACACCTTGCATTATAATGATCATATTGATGAGTTCTTGTCAAGTCAAGGGTAGCCCCAGACCAGACTAACTTCGAAACCCTCACATACAATAATATTTATATACAACAGTTTATTTCATATTTGTACGTTTCTCATGACAATTTCTTGGTCAGTTTTCATAGTTCAATGTCGACGAATGATTTGATCAACATTTTTTTCGGAGTCTCAAGTGACTCTTCAAAGACTATACATGAACGTCTCCGTAGGTGCCAATGCTGGATGGCCTTCACCTGGATCTCGGCCGCCATGCTATGCTGCCCCCCACTCCTCGGCTTCTCCAAGCCCGTCGTCGACAAAGAAGCCTTCATCTGCATGCTCGACTGGGGCAGCATGGCCGCCTACTCAGTCACTCTCTCCATCCTGGTGCTAGGCCCCAGCGTCATTACCATCGTCTACACCTACTCGTACATCTTCGGGATGCTTCGGAAGATTCGCAGCGGCGAGCCGTTCCACGATAAAGAATATGCTTCCGCGTTGGCGGAGAACTTATCGAATCCGAGTCACATGATGTCGTTCGCTTTGGTAGTGACGTTCGTGTTCTCGTGGACGCCTTATATTGCTGTCAAGTTGTACGAGCATTTTACAGCGCCCATCGAGAATGAACAGGTAAGGTGTACGTCTAATCGACTTTATCCTAAGGAGAACGAATTATTCATATTCAGATACGACAGATAGACAGCTGCTTGGTATTCACTGTAACTCCATGTAGTCTTGAGTGCTGCTATGTATTCTTTGGGAACAACTTGGCAGTCTTGAAAGTTCGATTTGAATAGATCCGGCTCGAAGGACCAATATGTTCGATACTTGATAGATAGTGGACTTTTTTTGTATGGTTATATGATAGATGATGATGAAATGAATCTAAATTTTCTACTATATAAGGTAATACAAGAACCAAACTATTATATAGGGTCATATACATGTACTCTATACAGATTGGAACGTGCTGTTGCTTGATTTCCACTGAAAGAAGATTTGCAATTACGTCCTTAGCATCTGTTGAATATTCAACCATAAAAGCGACAACACCATGCTACTTTTATGAATGTTTTTAATGTATTTACTATGCAATTTGACAGCTCTGACATTTCTGCCACTGCTCAGCGGTGTTGGCACAAAAGTGGTTGGTAATTTTGAACGATAGTTCACATGACTTGTCATCATTCCAATTGATTCATTGTGGAATTCAGTATTGTATGTCTCCTTCTTCCTCAAAGCCATAGTAGATGGCAGATTTCATCGTTAACATAGTGATCATAAAATTGAATTATGAACGGTGGTATTACATATTGAGGTTTCCATCAAAGTTAATATATTATTTATTCAGTCTCTATCGAAAAAGGAGGGGGCACCAGACCGGAGAAGGCGTGGCTTTATGCGGTGGGCGGGGCGTGAATGATTTATACTCTTATTCGCGGTAGTCAAGGTCATCATCTGACGTTGCGATGACATAAGAGCTACGGGAGAACAACTTATAATCTAAACCAGGGTTAGGAATGTTTTTCCGTAGTTTTCATGTCATGGCAACGTCATGTCTTCGATAAGCTTCTTTTTATCTCAAATAATCATGTTCACTATGAAGACACTCCGAGTGTTTGTTAAAAAAACTGTAACCAAATTGTACAGGGACTGATTTATTGTTAATTCTGACTGGGACTTGTTTCGCAATATTCCTCTCTCAAGAAATAAAATGTCTTAATCACAAATCAACTCAGAATATCAACTTATCGTCACTCGTCATTCCAGCTGTTGCACTTCGGCATCGTGTGGTTGGGCTTCCTGAACAGCTTCTGGAAGTCCATCATCCTGATGACGATGAGCCCGCAATTCCGGCTGGCTCTGCGCATCTTCTGCATGACGATCTGCTGTCGTTACAAGGGCCGCATGCAGGCCGAGCTGATCGGCATGGAGTCGGACGACTGACTGGCAGGTCGGCCGCCCCACCTGTTGCTGCCCCACCTGTTGCTGCCCGACCTGTTGCCCGCGCGCTGGGCCGACCTGCTGCCCGCCTGGTTCCCCTTCACGGGCATCGCGCTGAGAGACTTGGAGTATTTCATAGGTAATTTAGTGTGATTTGTTTACGTAGAACGGTATTTTACAATCTTATGTTCAGTTTGATTAATTTCTTTATGGGATTGGGGTTGGTTTTCTATACTAATATTATAAGGAGGAAAGATTTATTTTTTGTTTATTTCACTTGATTGTTTGGAATTTTCTCTCCTCGTTTCTATAAAAAAAAATATGCGTATTATTTCAATATATTTGTAGTGGAAGAAATCAGATGATTTGCCCCAAAATGTCACTGCGTTTAACAAATTTTTCCATCAGGGAGCCTAAAAGAAAAAAATGTTTGAAGGAAAAAAATATAGATATATTGAAAAAATATCGAATCTTTACTTATCTTTGGACGTTTTGGGACCAAATCTGCTCCCGTTCTCAACATGAAAATGTAAAATATTTCTCTTTGAAAGTTGTGCTGCTTATAGTTTGACAGTTTCCAGTGTCATACTGATGTTGGCATATGAATGAGTGATTTTAGTCTACAAATGAGTTACAGGATGTTTTTATTAATCGGTTCCAGACGTCCAAAGATAAGTGAAGATTCGATATTTTTTCAATATATCTATATTTCTTTCCTTCAAACATTTTTTGAAACAAATTGTCACTGACAGGCCACTGGATTTTTCTTTTAGGCTCCCTGGTAAAAAAAGTTGTTAAACGCAGTGACATTTTAAGGCAAATCATCTGATTTGTCCTACTACAAATATATTAAAATAATACGCATATTTTTATTTTATAGAAACGAGCAGAGAAAATCCCAAAAAAATCAAGTAAAATGAATGTACCACCTCCTCGATTAACCTACAGACAGTATTTATTTGTTTGTTCGTTTGTTTTTTTATTTGTACATTTATTTGTTTTTTCATTTATTTGTTTGTTCATTTGTTTGTTTCTTTGTTTGTTTCTTTGTTTGTTTCTTTGTTTTTGTTTCTTTGTTTGTTTCTTTGTTTGTTTCTTTGTTTGTTTCTTTGTTTGTTTCTTTGTTTGTTTATTTGTTTGTTTCTTTGTTTGTTTCTTTGTTTGTTTCTTTGTTTGTTTCTTTGTTTGTTTCTTTGTTTGTTTCTTTGTTTGTTTCTTTGTTTGTTTCTTTGTTTGTTTCTTTGTTTGTTTCTTTGTTTGTTTCTTTGTTTGTTTCTTTGTTTGTTTCTTTGTTTGTTTCTTTGTTTGTTTCTTTGTTTGTTTATTTGTTTGTTTCTTTGTTTGTTTCTTTGTTTGTTTCTTTGTTTGTTTCTTTGTTTGTTTCTTTGTTTGTTTCTTTGTTTGTTTCTTTGTTTGTATTGAATAGGCTCCGAAAGTACTAGACCGATTTGAATGGAAACTGGTGGGGCGACAGCTTAGAACCAGGAGACGGGCATATGCTACTTTTTATCTCGGTAGGTACTATCAGGGAATTCAAGATGGCGATCCAATATGGCGGATTTTGTAATTTCAATCCGATTCTATTCAAAATGAGTATTTGGAAATTTTCGGAGTTGGAGATTATGATTCTTTTGTCAAAATTTTGAAAATCAAGATGGCGGATTCAATATGGCGGACTAGTTTTGTAATTATGGTACGATTCTATTGAAAATTGCTATATGGTGGTTGTCGGTGCCAGAGATTTTGATTCATTCGTGAAAATTTGAAAAATCAAAATTGCGGAAGAAATATGTGGCCAAAGATTTTCGTAATTATAATGCGATTCAAATCAAAATGGGTATCTAGAAATTTTCGGGATCGGGGATTATGATTCCTTCGTCAAAATTTGAAAATTCAAGATGGCGGATCCAATATGGCGGACGAGTTTTGTCAATATGGCCCGATTCTATTCGAAATTGGTATCTGGGAGTTTTCGGGGTCGGAGATTGTGATTTTTTCGTCAAAATTTGGGAATTCGGGATGGCGGAACCAGTATAGCGGACGAGTTTTGTAATTATTATCCGATTATATCCAAAATTGTTACCTACAGGGGTTTTCGTGTTTGGGAATTATGATTCTTTCGTCAAAATTCGGAAATTCAAGATGGCTGATCCAATGTGACTTTCATAGATATCCAAACTAAAAAGAAGTGGATATATATATAGTAATAATAATAATAGTGTGTTGATGAATATTCAGCTGAAAAAATGGTTTAGATCTAGCTAAAGAATAAAAGCAATCAATCAAAAATTATCAAACTCTTGGCCAGTTCAGTATAAGATATATTATGTTCAATTACGTCAACTAAATGAAGATTAACCGCTGTTGATACATTTTTCATGTTTACTGAATATCCTTGTCAATTTGTCTTGGAGAATGACCCATATATCCAAGTTTGACTGATTTTTCAGCAAAAAAAAGTGAGACCAGACAGTATCGCAAAAATATACCATAGTATTGGTTATACTTTAAACCCTCTGTGTATCTTTATCAAAACACAACATTCGATGCCGTAGACTGTAAGTGAAGCGTTGGATTCCTTCAGGTAATACAGGATGTCCAATTATGAGTGATCCGTTTTATGTGTTGAGAACTGTGGATAATGGAGTAAATCAAATAGGAAATTGCCAAGAAAAGATAAGGATATAGTCAACTTGCAAGTTTATTTTCAATGAGGACTTGACTTTGAAACTCATTTTCGTAAAAGAATGGAAGAAACATTCTATTACATTTTTTTGATATTTTTCAGATAGGATAAGAAGATATTATTGGTGCCAATTCCCGCGCCAAAGACATTCTCTAGAGCACTGAAGGTGGTGTTTTTCCTCTGCTAAAAATATTGTGATTTGCATAGATCGATGTGCGACTGATGGACTAGAAAATTACAAATTTTCGAATCGTAAAAGTCAATTATCGTAGATTTAGGTTCTAGTTATCTCGTAAAATACGAATACATTGATACTCATCACCCTTTGCATATACAGGGTGCTCGTTTTTCGAGCTCCACCATGGGGATCTCAGTTATTATAAGAGATACGAGGTCGGTTGAATTAGGGCAAAGTTGCCTAATTCATTCGACCTCGTAGCTCTTATAATAACTGAGATCCCCATGGTGGAGCTCGAAAAACGGACACCCTGTATGCGATTTTGTAGATACGACTGCAGTCCAGTCCAGTCATTTTAAAATTCCAGTTTTAACGTAACGAGTTTCGACGTGGCTTAACACCAAATAGATTTAAATAAGTAATCAAAGACATTAATCAAACGAAAGTTTTAAAGACAAATCACGATGTGGTGAGAAAATGACATACAGAGAAGTGCACAAAAAGTGGTCAGGACTGTAACTTTTGAATAATTCGAGATAAGGTTTTGAAAATTGTTCATTACTTGACGCAAAATTTTTGTTCTGTCGCTTCCGGTTTCACGGGAAACGACCCCAACTTCTGATTTTCAAATGGGACACCCTGTATTGTATTTCATAATCGGTTAGGGATTGTCATAACGAATTCATCGATACCGGGTTTCCTAGAGTTATTTCAAACGAATACGCAGATATTTGCGTTCTAAGTTTCCATATGCACAATGAGTGTGACAGAGAAAGGAGTTTTGATATTGCGCAGTCGCACCCATTGAACATATGGAAACTTCGAACGCGAATATCTCTGTAATCGTTTGAAATAACCCTATCAAACCTGGTATCGTTGAATTCGTCATGATAATCCCTAACCGATTATGGAATACAATACAGGGTGTCCCATCCAAAAATCAAAAGTTGGGGTCGTTTTCGGTGAAACTGGAAATGATAATAGAAAAATTGTTCCATCGATCAATCCATGAGCAATTTGGTATACTTGCGACTCACCAATTTTTGTTACACTATCTCGAATAATTCAAAAGTTACAGTCCTGACCGTTTCTTGTGCACTTCTCTGTATGTTATGGATTTTAAATCAATTCGAAATTTTTGTGACTATTAACTCTTGACAATTCCATCACCTGTGCTATATCATTTATTTCATTGCTCAAAAAATACAATAAATAGCCTGAAGGAACATAGAATACGTTGCATAGATGTTAGATACGCGTAAAAAACAATCAAATAATTTGCAAGTTTTTTAAAAGCCAATTGTTAAATTCAATCAAAAGTTAAAATGATAGTCGTAAACATTTGTTGAATGTAAAGATTATCAATGTTTGATTAGCAGACTATTAATTGATAAATTGAATTAGTAAAAATGGCCATAACAAAGTTTAATTCTAATGTCTACGAGTCAATTTACAATGAAAATAATGGGCAATTCATTTTTGGCGCTATTTTATTGAACTTTGGTGATGGCCGATAGTAGAGTCCCTAAATGTACTTGACACTGCTGTTTTGACGTTTTTTGAATATTAGAGTACGGACACTAGACAAGCAGTGACAATCAAACATAAACCACAAACGGTTTTGAAGCCAATCATATGTTTTGCCAGACAAGGACAAGGATATGTTTTTCGCTTAGATAAAGGATCCTCGCATCTTCCTTCCTCCACAAGTCCTGGGGAGAGTACATCCATATATCTTTCTGTGTCTTTGATGTTTGTATGAGAGTGCATAGCGTCTCCTCGAGTGGGTAAAAGGGTACAATAAATTGATTAGAAAACTATTTCATTCCGAAATATTGAATGATAAGGCTGAAGGACCTCAATGGAGGTCGATATCAAGTTGGTACATATATACCAACTAAATACATATACTATTCCTATAAAATAAGTCTTGAATATTTTTTTGTCGCAAAAGTTCAGAATGGAGTAAAAACTGATAAATTTCAACCAATGGAACATTATTTCAAAGACATACGGAAGTAGGTATAAATGGGTTCGGCTCTTTCTCTCAATACGATCCTATTCTTCAACATCAAATCTTCCGTTCTGAAGTGTACCTGATGAAAATGCGTTGAAAAATGTTCTATATCCTACCAAGAAATTTGAAAACCTTGAAAATTTTGTGGCCTGAACCTATATTCCATGCCGGCCGCATCATAATCTGTTTACATTTTTGTAGAATTTCTTTATCCGATGGAAATTCGAATAGAGTGAATTGATTTTCCGTGTTCTCACAGTTG